TTTTTTTTTTTTCAACACTAAACATCATGAAGAACCTCAAAAAAAGTTACTAATTAATCCAGCCTAACCTGAGAAACTTCCTTATAGTCACCGAGTTTATAATCAAGATTTTTTCCACACAAGTCGAGAGAAGATAGTGGCGGACGAAAATACTCGATGGGCTCCAAATGCTCGAGAGGCTGGAATACTATCTCACTTCCCCTTGGAGGTAAAGGCAAAGAATGATAATTACTGAGTATCTGTAGCAAATCGTTCTTGTTCTCCTATCAAAGATGAGACAAAAACTAGTAAATCCTTAGCAAGAAGTGAATATGAAAAAAAAAAAGAAAGAAAAAAAGAGAGAGCGAGAGTATAGCAATAAAGTCACCATTCTAATATCATACGCGATACTTTTAGCATAATCATAAAATATCTCGTCAGCCTCATCGTCCGAAGCTGTACTTACAGCTGAACTGCGAAAAGGAAGTTACAATTTCACGAGGAATATAGAAAACGAACAAGTAGAGTAATATTGCCGATAAAAGCAAATACATGCACATGACAGAATCCTCTGTTTCACTCTCACAATTACAAAATATATAGTTAAAGTGATTGAACTTTGAACTCTCTTTATAAGGGGTGCAATGTATTTTCAAGAAAATAATTTTGTGAAAAAATATTACACTTTTGTTTGGTAACTAATATTAACCAACGTGCAACAAAGCAATCGGTCATCATAAATCTATTTTGAATCACCTAAATGATGTTTCGGAGAACTGATCATTCACCGGGCAGATATGATCCAGACCAATGGACATCTTCTCGGATGTACAATCATCAAAGGCAAGTGTACTACTACTCACAGGAGAACATATGTCCCACGTGGACTGTGCCACCTCATCGTCTGCAGGAATCGTGACCGACATCCAGTCAGCACAACAATCATTGGCAAATTGAGAAATCCGGTTTAGATGTTTCTGCGCAATGATGCTGCATTCAAAGGTGAACACGACAAAAACAACAAATAACGGTATTGTTTTACAAACAGAAGATTAACATTTTCTTAGAGAAGCTGATATATACTATACTAACCTGTTTAACATCTCAAAGTGCAACTCGAAAAAAGGGACTTTTGTCAATATACAATAACAACGAGGGGCCGAACCCAGGAATCTGTTCGAGTCGGGATCTGATTCGGAACAAGGTGATGAAACTTCAGACATTGCAGGTGGCTCCTGAACAAATTCTTGCACGTGTAAGCACA